CCCATCTTGAAACCGTATTCTACTCAATCTTTTCCAAATACTTTTAATTACCACTCCCGACTGCCACTTCTTTTCTCCGCCATACACTCTTGCCCACACTATCTGTCCCACATTAAACTTTACAGTACCATTATCCACTCGTTCTTTTTCTTGACTATCCGGCTTCAAGGCAATCCAATTCTAGATCTACGTCATAATTCATTTTATGATGGAGACATTTTTTCTCCCCACCTATCATTATAATACGCCACAGACACCCATATTTCTCCTTTTACATACCTGGCCTTCCTTAACCAATTCTTCATCAATCCAACCATCCGCTCTGCCTGTCCATTGGAGCTCGGATGATAAGGTGGCGCCAGCACATGTTTCGCCCCATTTTCCACACAAACTTCTAGAACCCTTCACTATTAAAGGCCGCCCCATTGGATACGATTACCTTTGCCACTCCGAATTTTGCTCATAAATTTTTCGAATTTCTGACCACAATTTTCATTGTCAATACACCCACATTTTCAAACTCCACCCATTTGAAGTATGCATCTACCATGAGAAAATATTCTTTCCTTTCAAACTCAAAAAAGTTCACATGTATTCTCACCCAAGACCCCGATGCTTTCGGTCAAGTTCTTTGAAATCTTCGTTGGTATACTGGCCTAGGTATTGCACAATACACATTGCCAAGCCAGCCTCTCAATTTCTTCATTAATTCCCGGCCATTACGCATATTAGCGGTCATATTGTTTTATCCGTTCAACTTCCTGATGTTCAGCATGCAACATGACCATCACAGATTCTCACAGCCTATTAGGAACTACCTTTCTATTCCCCCGCACTACACAATTTTCCAATACAGTTAATTGTTTTCCCACGCTCTTGTACCCTTTATTTTCATCTCACCATGGCCGACACCCCATTATGCATTCCTTTATTTGATTCAAATCTCTATCTTTCATCATCGCCACGCATATTTCTTCCCAGTTCACCGGGCTACCTTTTCTCTCATCATAATCATCTCTTCCCTCACCAGCACACCTTTGTCCGCCATATGTCCAGCAAATAATTCTCTGGCCCTCTTCGATATTTCATATTAAATCAAAACTCCCTACCAACAACCATCTCTGTAACCTCAGAGATATCATCAACTCTGTTATATTTTTTAAACAAATATATCAATTGCTTGTGATCCGTTTACACCACAAACCGCCGCCCAATCAAATATTTTCTGCATTAAATCAACCCAAAAATTACCGTCAAGGACTCTTGTTCGATCACCGAATACCTTGTTTCAGCATTCCGGAATAATCTCGAGAAAACAACACCGGTACCGCCAAGACCACTTCCAACTCATTGTTAAAACATACCAAAATTGATTCTTCCCCAATTTTCCTCTTCAGACATTCAAACGTAGCACCTTGATCGTCTCCCCCTCAAATCTCACTCCCGTTTTCAACAACTTGCACAACGACGCTCCACTTCAGCAAGATTATCAACAAACTGATGGTAAAAATTTACGATGATCTCTACAAAAGATTATACCACCGCTGTGGTTTCACCATATTTTCAAATCCAATATATTCTTATCCAGTGGCAGCACTTCTACTCAGTTATTCCGTGTCCTGAATAACAACTTACTCCCAGTAAATTTTCTCTCTACTTGTTCGCAATCCCTTCTCCCGGATACTCTGAGATACCCCCTCCAATCTTCGATTATGCGCAATTGCAAATATGCGTTTGAATAATCCACTTTCGAAAAATATGCCCCCTTTCAAATTGTGCTTATACGATAACAAAGATTAATAATATATAACGAGAACATATAGGATACTTACTATGGAAGGATGACTACAATGACAACGTTAACGTTTGGACAAAATGGACAAGCAAGCAAACCCCTAAGCAAAGAGAACAACTTGTGTACAAGATCAAGAAAATAGAACGTTTTTTTATGTCCGAGGAGAACCTAGGCGGGGTTTATTAGAGGGTGGAATGTTAGATATAATCGTTTAAAAATGTTAAAGGCAATAACAAAATCTTTTTATTTTTTTATCTTTGAAATTCATATATTTTGTTAAATCTTTTTTGTTGTTTCTTAACTTAAAAAATCAATTTATATTATCGTTTTATATTTTCGTTAAAATTGACATTTTTTGTTATAACTTAAGTGAGATTTATTTCAAACCATGAACATTTTATTTTTTCATTTTGCGATTGATTGTTATTATTTATCTTTTTATGGATGTATAAAGAACAATTTTTTGTTAAAGAAAAAACATATGTTTATATGAATATATTTGGATAATGATGCTTACTACCAAAGGCAATAGTAAGCAAATCGTGATTTTACAATTTTATTTGATACATACTGCCAAATAACAAAATATATTAAAATGTAATAAGACGCTTATTATTTAACATATATATTATAATGGAAACACGTGGTCGAGTCCAGCCTCCTATATATGATCCCCCCAAGGACGGAACCACCAAGCTAGTTTAAGAAGAAAAAAAATGATCATTGCTGGGATTCGAACCCATAACCATCGGATTGGTAAGAAACGCTCTTGCCGACTAGGCCATAGCCGCTTTCCAAAAATCACGATTTTTCAAATATATATTCTAAATATATTTGGTAGTGCCTATCCAAATGAAAAATAAACAAAATACAAATTTGATAGGTAATACCTTAAGGTAGTAGGCATCATTAACCAATATATTTTGTAGAACTTTGATTGCTGAATAAAGATAAAGAAAATATCTTAGACTTAGAATTTATACTAAACCATCATGGACCTTATTGACCTCAAAAGAAAACTAAATATAAATTCAGTATCAAAAATATATACAAATCCAGCACAGTTGTACATGAAGGATTGGTTGATTTTTATATAAAGATTTTTGTGATTTTGAAATTGGTAAATCTTTTGGGAAGTGGATGATATAAAGTTTCCTTTAATTATATATTTAAATTTTTGCCGGTTAATAAAATACCTGTTTGAATTAAGAATTACAGGTTTATTTAATGTAATTTGTGATAGGAAATATTTTTGACATTTGGTAAAAGTAATCGTTAATAAAGATGATATATAAGATGTAACTGAATACATATATACATTATAAGTCAAAATATATTAAATGCTTTATTTTATTGGGCGGTGACCATAAATTATTTTTTGGCATGAATGATTATTACATTATTCAACAGTTTTTTTAAAGATAAAAATAGAATTTAAAATTTGTATTACTTAGATTTTGCTTATGTATATTATGGTCCTTAACATGATATATATTGTAATCTCAAAATTATAGGATTAAAATAAAAATTAAAAGAAAAAGTAGATTTTTTTTATAAAAAATGGAATAAAATAACTGAATATTAAAAAAAATGGAACAAGATTTTTTAAAAAAGGAATGCGAGATGTAAAGAAAAAGACAAGGATACGCGAAGAAATTAAAATGGAAATCGAAATACGGCCAGGATAACGATATTTTTGGACAAGATATGTAAAATATACAAAGCTTATGGATCTCATTAGTAGTTAGCTTAAAATTATGTTGCATTACAATGATAGGGATTAGTTTATATGTGTTAAAGATGCTATATTTTAAAAAATATTTTCCTTTTATTAGATGTTTCAAATTAATTTTTTTTAATATAAACAGTGTATCCCTAATTCGAAGTAGCGGCGGACTTTATTGATAAGATTTGTTGATTTGAATAAGCGAATGAGTTATATGCAAGGATGATAAACATAAACATATAATATATTTTATTAGATAAAATTCAATATTTTGAGAGGCAAAACAGTTATCACCAGCCCCACTTCCGGGGAAGATATTGGTGGATTTTGAAGAGGTACCGAAAAATACAATTCCCATCTTAAGTAAAGCGTGAATATAATAACAAATGATTTGGGACTAAAAGAAGTCTCTGAAACTAAAGATAACTTCATTGTAAAGCAAGTGCTTATCGAATCATGCATATGTCCCAGCGGATGATCTGGAAATGCATTTAAAACATTGACAGAAATATTTGCAGAAAATGGCTTCTCTGAGCTTATTTCCTATTGAGAAGACCTATATATGAAGACAAGAAATATATTTTTTGTTATAAATTATAAGGCAACTAAATAATTTTGCAGCTCATTTATAATGCAAAATTTTGGAGCACAATTATACGTTAAATGGTGCCACCAGAACAACAAATTGCGTTGACATTATGGAATTAAATCCCTATGACAATGTTCTCACCTGACGTTTTATAAATTTTTAAAGGGGGGTCATAAAGGCATGCACAAGCATAAGACTATATATTTCCAAGGCGTAATGGGGAAAACTATTACCTCTCAGAGAAATATGCTAGGTCATTGATGTGTATAAATATGGAATTTCAGATTTTTTCACATTTTTAAAAGTAATTGCCTATATTTTATATTTGTGATATACTGTTTGATCTAATAAAGAGTATAAATTAAATTGTCTAATTGGTTGTTATTAGATAGATGATAATTAAGTAAGAATCTGGGCACTTATCTCCCTAGAAGAACTACGGATCTCAATTGGCCTCCATATTTCAACACAAATATAGTCACCCCACACATCTGCAGTTTATGCAAGATTCAGGTCGATAGTTAAGGCCACCATTCATTATATTGCAGATACTCAAAAGTCAGACATTTGCGCCATCTTGCAATAAATGCTCTCATACAAAAGGTTCTATTACTCACATTAAATCAACACTAAAGATAATACTTATGAAAATAAAAATATTCGTTATTTTTCAATAAAAAAAATTTTCAAAAAATTAATTAAAATTTTTTTAAAATATTGAAATTTAAAAGGGAGTCAAAAAGTTAGATATTATCGAAATATAACATATAAATTCAGTTTTAAGTATATCATGATAAAGTGTTGTGTAAAATGTTTCCAAACCAATAAAATATATCACATATTGTTAAAAGAAAGAAATTATACATTTCTTATTTTTATTGATATAATACTTATATATAAGGAACATATATAAAGTTATAATAAATATCCCCGCTCATCATTTATAATAAAAATTATAATTGTTCTTAGCTTTCCTCGTTTTGAGTATTAGCCAATGATTTATTGTTGTAAGAGGCTAATAAAGTAGTTGTATTATTGCTACCGTGCGAAGCTTTTAATATTTTCAAAATAAAAAATAATTAAGATTTATTTTTATATATAATAACTCTATTTTAAAAAATATGTTGACGATACATCATAAAACTTGCATAAAATCTAACATAGTTATTATCAATTTTTTTTATTTTATGATATAATTTAGTAGGTAGCATTTAATTGTTATCCTTTTCAATCATACAAGAAACAAGTAATTAGTTTATTGGTTGGAGTAGAATATCACATTTTTTTAAACTGAGATATTTATGTTTAAGGTTTAGAAACAAATTTAAAAATTTTTTTGTATATTTATATAAATATTTTCCTAATTACTTTCAAAATTATTTGGTTATATATTTTTCAAATAAAAAATTTCAATTTTACTTTCCCGTATTTCTTTCTTTTCTAATCATCTCTTCACTTCTTTTAATTTATTATAATTTATCTTTTCTTTTATTCTTTATCGTTTAATTCACTCTGTTATTTTTCTTATTTATTAATATCTATCTTCTCAATTATTCATTCTAACTATCCATTTTTGAAATCATCTAGAATTCATTAATTAGACTTTTTTTTTTATCTAGTTCTTTCTTACTATTCTTATTCATCTTTTCCTTTTCTTTTATAATATCCCTATTTCAATTATTTTATTCTTTCCATTTTTCTTAAAAAAATTCCTTTCTTTTGTTTTTTATAATTACAATTTTCTTCGTAAATGATGCTCAAGTGGTTATCGTTTTTCTTTTTTGAAGATTTTTCAGTAGCATTGATAGTCTTAAGTTGGTTTAAATCTGAATAATTTTTTAAAGTAGAAATTAAAAAAATCATTGATGGATTATTCTTATAAATCAATACATTCTTTGAATTTACTATTTTCCTAACTCACTCTAATTTTCATGCATCTTTTAAATTAGAGATGTACTAGGATTGGATCGGGCCGATATTTCACCCATTTTAAAATTCGGCAATCGGCCAATATTATAAAATTTGCCGATCCGATATAAAATGGCGTCTTTAACAAATAAAATGTTATAAAATTTAAAAAAAGTTATATCTAAAATCATTTATTTTTATAAATAAAATCGAAATCCAAATAATAATTAATTAATAAACAAACTGCCATATTGATTTTTTTGCGCATTCTATTTATAAAAGTGTGTGATAATCTCTTCAGAATCTGTTTTTAGTGAAGCTGGTGATATTGACAGTTACCATCCCCACAGGCTGACCTCTGATAAATTGGAAATTTTGGTATTTCTAAAAAGAAATCTTCGATGTATTAATGTTAAATATTATTTTAAATATTTATTTCAAAATATATTTGTTTATTACTTATTATGTATGTAGATTAATGTTATTACATATTATATAAAAGTGATTTAACAATAAAAATATTTTATATACTTTTAGAATTGCAATTGAATTGAATATAAACTATAACTGTATAATATATTTAAATGACATAAGTTATGGTATAGTTAAATTATAGATGTTATACTAATAAAAATTATATTAAAATTAAAACCATTGGTATCTTTACAGAATACAAAATTAGATATGATATCGGATCGGTAATCGGCGATATCAATTTAATATCGGGATATCGGATCGGCCTCCAAAAAGTGGTAACCCCTATTAAATATTTTTGTATCATGTATTTAAGCTATATATCAGCTGTGAACCCTCCCTCTAAAAAAAGGGTTCAGTGATAAAATAATTATTATAAAATATTATATGTCTATTTTAAAAATTATATTTAAGCGAAATATTATAATATCTTCTAAAATATCATCATTGAGACCTCCACGTAGGTCTGACAATATACAGTAACCCTGTCTAATTTGAGCTATGAATAATTCGTGCAACTTCCTAATTTGAACAAAATTTTAGTCCCAATCAAATTCCACTTCTTAAAATATCTTGATAAATTAGGCAATGTCTGCTTTCAAAAGTGGGCATTTTTTAATTTTTTGTCCATTTGTATAAGACCTCTATAAAGTGGCCATTTGTTGTTTTTTGTTTCATAGTATAATATAAAATTCATCCTTTTAAACTTATTCAAGTCAAATAACAAATTTAACAAATAAAAAGAATAAGATTTATAGTTAATTCAAAAAAATTTAGGTTATTAAATTTCATTATCATACTCAAACTCAAAAAGAATGCCCTAAAAATTTAATATTTTAAAAGGAAATGTTCACAATATTCATAAATACAAAGAAAAAATTATCAGACGCTATGAAAATAAAACATATTGCATCAAATAAAGAAACAAGGATAAATTAATTTATTTTTATTCTTATTTGTATAAAACCTTTTTATAATTATTTTATATAAATGTACATTTTCTTATTATTTCTTATAGGCTATGTCCTAAATATCAAAATATTAAATCGCGCAATTTGCTCGAATCTAGCGAAAAAAAAGAAGTCATTTTAATGGAAAATTGAACTGTTGGCCTAAATGATTTTTTCTATTTCGTGCATATGACGTGATTATTAAAAATTTAACGATTCGTAAAACTTTAACCTTTTTATCATTAAACTTATGTAATTTGTGTAATTATTGCAACAAATATGGCGAATGAATACCAATTAATAGAAAATATTAAACCACATAGATATTTGTGATGCAACAGCGACCTAAACTATATAGATACAGCAGCTAGTAAAGTCATATGGGAAAAATTTTGATCTTAATTATGAATAAATTAAGAAAAAATTTGTTGCTATTAAATCTAAATTCAACAAATATTATGCTCTATTCAAGAAATCAGGTTTATATTAATAGTATATATAAATATTATGAATCTATTTTTATAAATAGTTCTGGTCTGGTGCTGCTATGATCAATAGCAAACATCTCAAATTTGTGGAAGATTATTTCTGGTTGAAAGATAATGTGGAGGATATTTGTAAGCATTCTGAATCATGTTTCATATTGATTTTTCTTTTGCTGTATTTCTATCATTGAACTAATTACTATTAGAATTATCTGCTTTCATTATGTTTGGAATGTAAGATGCTAATAATAAACAAACATCACCACAAGTATTATAACATGAAATTAGAACTATCTAATAATTTATATTTTAGGATTCTGAAATGCCAACCAATGAAATTATAAATCCTGTTAATTGCATGAAAAAGATATTTCTGATAATGAAATTTTAGAAGTTTAATAACAAGATGAAATTTGCTCCATATAAAAAATTTTATAATAAAAATTATTACGTTTAATAGTTTGTTATATTTAAGATTTATTATAAAATATTTTAAGAATGATGTGAATACGATAAAAACAAGAGGTTTTTTTTAACTAATAATTTGTATATTTAAATATGTTTATTTTAAAATATAGCAAACTAATAATAATCATATAAATGCCCCAGGACATCATATTGGTTATATCAATGCATTTTTCATTCCAAAACCAATACTACATATTTTTTTTTTATATATATTATATTATATGATTTTTAAATATAAAGCCATTTATATAATATTTTTCATAGAAATAATAAAAATTTAATTAAAATTATAAAAACGCTATGGATTTTTTGATTAAACAGTTATTATAGGTAATAAACATTCCTAAAGAATATCAACACCCAAAAATTCCCTTCTCAACAAAGCTACTTTTTTATCTTTACTGAAAATGGATTTTTTTTGATATTTTCCAATGTAAAATTTTAAGGGCTATAAAATGATATATAATTTGTAACTCTATCGTAAGTATTCTTTAAAAAACAAGATTTAATGAAATCACACATTACGCGATTTTCGATTTTGAAGGCGTATATCTTTAAATCTGGGTGGGCTCTAAAATTTTAATTAAAATTTACAACAAAAATAGCTAACATGCCCCACTCATTTTTAAGATGGTCGTCCGAAACACTGGTTGATTTGTAATTTTTTCGTCATTGCATTCATTCATTCAATCTTGTAACATGTAAAAAAATTACTTGAACTATTTTTCTAAACTTAACTCCTTTCGGTTTCTATAGAAGGTGTAATAAAAATAACAAAGTTTCATGCTCGATTATTTTAAAGGTAAAATTTAATTAGGAACATTCCAGTTTAAAAAAAATATACCAGGTCTTTTATGAATGTCGTCAGTTGGAAGGTTTTCCTTAAACGGGATAACGGCAAATACCTACAAATAAAGAGATAGAGAAAAAATATACGTTAATAAATTTATATAAGAGAATTATTTAATAAAAACAAAATGGAAGCGAAGAAAATTAAACACTCATGTATATAATTAATTCTAAAGTTTATTAAATATATGAGACTATTATTAAATTATTCCAGAGTAGGCGTTTTGGTAAATAATTGATAGATGCAATAAGGCATGATGTTATAGGATATTATTCTCTTTTAATTTTATTAAACGGCTCGATATGAGCCGATTTTTAAAAAACGAGCCGTTTAATAAAAGGCTAGCACAATATTTTCGCCAAAATATTGTCTTTGAAATTTTTTCAATAGATGTTCAAACCTTTGTGCCATCTATGAGCATCTTGAGGCTTGCATAATATTTTTCCTAATAAAATATTAAGCTAGCCGTTTTTAAAAAATCGGCTCCATTTAACAACACTATCCACTTTGAAAGTGAACAAATGTTTTCTAAACAAATTATATATAAAATAAAAGATTAGCACTCAAACTGTAACCAAAAACAAGATTTATAGATAATAGCCTAAATATGCCTCTCCTAAATTTCTAGTAGCCTTAAAATAACTTAATATTTGTTGGTAATTCAAAATTTTGAATGAAGCAATGCAATTCTGGACCACTGATTTCTTAAATGGAAAAATGCTGTAATTGATCCTTTCCTTTTTTTACTTTCTTTTATTTTTCCTCATTTCCTTATATTCTTTCTTTCATTTATTAAATCAACCCAATTTATCAATATTACTTTTGTTTTATTTAAATATTCATTTCCCAAATTAAAAAATAATATAATAAAAGTTATTAATCATTCATAAAGTGTTTGACTGTAGGTGTAGGTTTCTCATTCAACAAATATCGGAGGCAAGTTAAATCGTTGGAGACAGAATCCATTTGCCCCAAAACTAATAAAATAAATTATGCATTAAAAAAGGAATACAGAGAGATTAAAAGATCTTTTATCAGATTTAAAAAATCTAATTTGATAAAATTTAAGCATTGCAGTTAGAGATCTGCAAAGCCTGGTTAAAATTTTTGCACAAGTTGTTGGCTCAACAAAATTTATAAAAAGTGCACCCAGCCTATTAAATTTTCTTATATGAATTTTCCTGCAATTAATTTTCAATTTCTATGTCTAATATAGCATTTCTATATCTCTCCTCTTTGAATATCTATTTCTGACTATAAAAACTGTCTTATAACATATTGTATTTGTAATTGTATTATATGATAAATAACTTGTTAAATTTTTTATAAATTTATTATATTACTAATAGATTTAGTATTTTAGTAAGATATCTCTTAAAACACAAAGAAATAAGCATATTGCATTTATTTCAAACAGTAATAATTAACATCAAAATATTAAGTTATAATTCAAAATTAATGTTAGTGCTAGCCTATTAAAATTGATAAATCAAATTGCTAGGCCCTGCCTGATTTTTTATATAAAAATTATCCAACCTGGCTCAATAATTTTTTATATACAAATTTACCAGCTTGTTAAAAAAAAGTTCAATTTTCCCAGCATCTAATTCATGTGAGTCAATAAAAAACTTTAATGGCTAGGGGCAGACCTTTTCATAAAATTTTAATGAGCCGGACCACTTTTATTTTCTAAAAAATTATAAAGGGATAGGCTTGTAGACCTTTAGCATGAGGAATTTTTATTTTGGTAATTTTGATCCTTTTCTTGCTAATTTTTATTTGATAGGAGGGGATTAATTTTTAGAGGAAGGTAGGGGAGGTAAAAACTTTAAAGAAGGTAAGTCATTAGCTTATGAGGGTAGCAGGAAATTTCCATCTCATGTTTATTTGTATTAAAAGTTTTCAAAAAACTTTAATTATTATTTAAAATTAACATTAAAGACAAAGATGCACTTTTGTCTCTGGCTTCATATTTATCTAGATATTCTTTGGGAGATAATATATGAGTGGATAGCAGTATTGCATCAGTGATTTCTTTCTGTCTCTCATTGCATACTTGATTAATGGCATCACTTATAAATTTTTAAATATATGATATAAAAGAAATAGTTATTCACTTAATTTTTGCTCCAATGTTAAAATTTTTAAGGAATAAGTCAATAATTTGTTTTTTTTCAAAATCTTGATTTGTGTTGTTTTTTAATGTAAAGAGCTTGGTTCTAAGAAAATTTTCAAAATTATTTTGAATTTCTGAATTTTTAATGTATTGTGGTATAAATTCGTGAACATTTTTATTAATAATATTAACAAGTGCAGTTGGATTTTTTAATTCTTCTATTTTTTCTATACAAGTGTTAAGATATTTATTGTAAGCATCTTCAAAATTTTGAAACTCCAGTTGTTCATTTAACCTAAAAATAAGAAGTTTGTTACATATGAAATCATATTTTTTAAGTGGTCTCAAATACCCTCTAAGGGCTAAAATTGATTGAAATAATTTTACATATAAAATTAACATTTTAAATAAAAACAAGTCTTTTACTTATCATAAGATAATGCCTTGAATTCCTCAAAAGATTGTGAATTACCGTTATTATCTATCAACAAATCTTTAGGATAACATAAAATCTCCCTCATAGATTCATCATAATATAAAAGGAGAAATGATGGATTTTCAATCAAAAGCAATCAATCAAAGTTTAATTCTTATTAAGATTTTGAACAATGCGTATACCCAAATCAAATAATAAGCATATATAAAATTAAATGAGTAAAAATTAATAATATATAATATCTTGTGAATTGGGATCTAACTAAAATTCTTCTATGAATTGCTTATGATATCAAATCTTCTAGATTCTTTTTTATCTTTAAATAATAGATACATACCTAATATTGTGTTATGGTATAAGAGATAGCTGATATACTAGTAAAAATATGATCCTTCACTTATAATTTCAAATTTTTCCTACTTTTACATTATTTGAGATCTAACTGAAAATCTTCCTTATCATATCAAATCTTCAGTAGATTCTTTATTTTATTTTTAAATAATAGACATACCTATAATTGTGTCATGGTTTAAAATAGACAGCTGATATTTTTCTAATAACCCTTCACTTATAATTTCAAATTTTTCCTACTTTTATATTATTTGGGATCTAACTGAAATTCTTTCTTATCATATTAAATCTTCAGTAGATTCTTATTTTATTTTTAAAAAATAGATACATACCTAAAACTGTGTCATGGTTTAAAATAGACAGCTGATATTTTTCTAATAATCCTTCACTTATAATTTCAAATTTTTCCTACTTTTATATTATTTGGGATCTAACTGAAATTCTTTCTTATCATATCAAATCTTCAGTAGATTCTTATTTTATTTTTAAAAAATAGATACATACCTAAAACTGTGATATGGTTTAAAATAGACAGCTGATATTTTTCTAATAATCCTTCACTTATAATTTCAAATTTTTCCTACTTTTATATTATTTGGGATCTAACTGAAATTCTTTCTTATCATATCAAATCTTCAGTAGATTCTTATTTTATTTTTAAAAAACAGATACATACCTAAAACTGTGTCATGGTTTAAAATAGACAGCTGATATTATTCTAAAAATATATGCTACTTCATTTATAAGGGAATGACTAAAATACGCGTCCCCAAAAACTACGCGTCCCTACGCGTCCCCGGTCAAAACGATTAATTTTTATTAATATTAATAGGAAATCTTATTAAGCTTTATAAGATGAGTTAGAAAATGTTTTTTTTAATTTAAAAAAAATACGATAACTATATAAAATTTACAAAAATTTATAAATACTACGCGTCCAAAATTTTTTTAAAAAATCAAAACGGATTCATATTTAGCTCATTAAAAGAATACAGAATATGTAAATATTATATTTTAAACTATTTTATAACTTAGTGATTTTTTCAAAAAACACTTTTTTTTTCAAAAACACTACGCGTCCCCGGTCAAAAAACCTTTTTTTTAAAAAAATAATAGCAGATTCATGTTTAACTTTTTAAGAAGATTCATTTTTTTTTGGCTAAACTACGCGTCCCTACGCGTCCCCGGCCAAAATACAGTTTTTTTAAAAAATCAAAACGGATTCATATTTAGCTCATTGAAAGAATACAGAATATGTAAATATTATATTTTAAACTATTTTAAACTATTTTATAACTTAGTGATTTTTTCAAAAAACACTTTTTTCGAAAACACTACGCGTCCCCTATCTGCTTTTATTTTTTTTAAAAAAAAGGTTTTTTGACCGGGGACGCGTAGTGTTTTCGAAAAAAGTGTTTTTTGAAAAAATCACTAAGTTATAAAATAGTTTAAAATATAATATTTACATATTCTGTATTCTTTTAATGAGCTAAATATGAATCCGTTTTGATTTTTTAAAAAAAACTGTATTTTGGCCGGGGACGCGTAGTTTAGCCAAAAAAAAAATTTTTCGAAAAATTTTTTTTTTAAATTTTTTTTATTAATACCATTTTCTGAATCTCCTTGAAAAGCTAAACATGAATCTGCTTTTATTTTTTTAAAAAAAGGTTTTTTGACCGGGGACGCGTAGTGTTTTTGAAAAAAAGAAGTGTTTTTTGAAAAAATCACTGTTATAAAATAGTTTAATATATAATATTTACATATTCTGTATTCTTTTAATGAGCTAAATATGAATCCGTTTTGATTTTTTTAAAAAAACTGTATTTTGACCGGGGACGCGTAGGGACGCGTAGTTTAGCCAAAAAAAATGAAACTCCTTAAAAAGTTAAACATGAATCTGCTATTATTTTTTAAAAAAAAAGGTTTTTTGACCGGGGACGCGTAGTGTTTTTGAAAAAAAGAAGTGTTTTTTGAAAAAATCACTAAGTTATAAAATAGTTTAAAATATAATATTTACATATTCTGTATTCTTTTAATGAGCTAAATATGAATCCGTTTTGATTTTTTAAAAAAAACTGTATTTTGGGAGGGGACGCGTAGTTTAGCCAAAAAAAAATTTTTCGAAAAATTTTTTTTTTTAAAATTTTTTTATTAATACCATTTTCTGAATCTCCTTGAAAAGCTAAACATGAATCTGCTTTTATTTTTTAAAAAAAAGGTTTTTTGACCGGGGACGCGTAGTGTTTTTGAAAAAAAAAGTGTTTTTTGAAAAAAATCGCTAAGTTATAAAATAGTTTAATATATAATATTTACATATTCTGTATTCTTTTAATGAGCTAAATATGAATCCGTTTTGATTTTTTTAAAAAAACTATATTTTGACCGGGGACGCCTAGGGACGCGTAGTTTAGCCAAAAAAAAAATTTTTTTAAATTTTTTTTAAAAAAAATTAATACCATTTTCTGAATCTCCTTAAAAAGTTAAACATGAATCTGCTATTATTTTTTAAAAAAATAGGTTTTTTGACCGGGGACGCGTAGTGTTTTTGAAAAAAAAAGTGTTTTTTGAAAAAATCACTAAGTTATAAAATAGTTTAAAATATAATATTTACATATTCTGTATTCTTTTAATGAGCTAAATATGAATCCGTTTTGATTTTTTAAAAAAAACTGTATTTTGACCGGGGACGCGTAGGGACGCGTAGTTTATTTTTTAAAAAAATAAATTTTTGTAAATTTTATATAGTTACCGTATTTTTTTTAAATTAAAAAAAACATTTTCTAACTCATCTTATAAAGCTTAATAAGATTTCCTATTAATATTAATAAAAATAAATCGTTTTGACCGGGGACGCGTAGGGACGCGTAGGGACGCGTAGTTTTTGGGGACGCGTATTTTAGTCATTCCCATTTATAATTTCAAATTTTTCCTACTTTTATATTATTTGGGATCTAACTGAAATTCTTTCTTATCATTTCAAATCTTCAGAGATTCTTATTTTATTTTTAAATAATAGATACATACCTAAAATTGTGTCATGGTTTAAAATAGACAGCTGATATTATTCTATTGAAAATAATGATCCTAATTTCAAATTATTCCTACTTTTATATTACTCTTGTTTTAAGTTTTTTAGGCAAAAATATTTGAAATTTGACTTTTATAATAAATTAGAATTTAAAAAGTGCTTTTATATTAAAATTATATTTCAGTTAATTTAATGAAGAAAAAGAAATTAAAATTACTAGAAATAATTATTTAGGGTATTGTATAGGAAAAAATATTATTATCCCTCAAAAATGCTTTAATTCTAACATAACTCAAAAAATGAGATAAAATCAAGTCAACAAATTCAATTAAAATAATTTTATTCAATAAAATTTCATTTACAACTGTAATTCTAATAAATACATAAATATTTATAATCATTTAATAATTAAAATATAAAATGAATATAAAAATAAATTTAACAATTTTCACAAAACCAATGATTTTATTTTCAGGATATACAGTGGTGAATCTATTTTAAATATCATATAATTTTATTTAAAAATATTATTTTACCTTTAATTTTATTAAATTGTTTGAAGCCAAGTTTGTATCTTGAATAATTTTGATATTTTCAGGATATACAGTGATGAATCTATTTTAAATATCATAATTTGATTTTAAAATATTATTTTACCTAAAATTTTATTGAATTGTTTGAAGCCAAGTTTGTATCTTAAATAATTTTGATATTTTTAGGATATACATTGGTGAATCTATTTTAAATTTAAAAATATTATTTTACCAAGGATAATGGTTGAATTTGTATATGTTTTTAATTGGCGGGAAAAAATATATATTAAATAATGATTTGAAATTTATAATTTTTATGTTGTGAATTAACTACATTATCTTGCTGATTGGAAATTGTTCTATGCAGTGATGTATTGCTTAAAAAATTATTGGTTAGGGCAGGGGGCAGGAGACTACAATTTTTTAAATTATTATCTATGATATATATGAAATAAATTTTTTACTATGAATATGAATATTATTCTTTAAAAACGATGTAATAATTACCATCGATTTAAAAAATATATATAAATGCTTCGTTTTATTTGGGTTCTATTTTTCTTTAAAAGATTTCAATCCCCGTGTTGGTTCCTTTTCCATATTCAGCTGCAAGTAACTGGAATCGATTCCAATATTGAGGGTTAATTAATATATATATGAATATTAAATTTGACAAATTATATACTCCTACTCTTTCAATTATCAGCTATGATTAAAATCATAAAATAAAAGCTCTTTTGACACCAGACAGTAGAATAAAATATCCATAAAGTTAAGGAAATATTAAAAATTTTAATTGATGAATTGTCGAAGCATATCATATTTATTTAATTTGAATTTTTTTATGTTTTTGACCAAATTGCGCATCTAGATTCTTAGGGCAATTTCTTTTTGAAGAAAGTATAATTTGGGAAGAATTTTTAAAATAAAAAAATAATTTTATTAAAATTTATTTGTTATAGAAAGATAACTAGGGTTACGGTGAGCTATATAATTTTATTCTAAAAATTAATTATAACTAAAATTTCTCATAAAATGTTAATAATATATATACATTTTTATATCTAGAAATTAGAATATATAAATCACAAATTTATAAGACAAGGTTAAATTATAAAATGAAAAGTAAAAATTAAGGGTATAATTACGTGATACGTGATATATAGCGCTTTTGCCCTCTAGCGTTGAAGATTCAACAGAGCTACGCTA